CTTTTTGGGGTCTTTCCATCACAACAGACTTAGCACAGTCATTGCAGAGGACCAGTTCACTATGTAAAAAAAGAGAAAGAGAAAGAGAAAGAGAAGAAAAGAGAAGAGAAGAGAAGAGAAGAGAAGAGAAGAGAAGCATCACATAGAAACTGCAGAATACAGATGCATAGCCATTTGCATTTCCACTTCTCTTCCTTGTCATAATTTTAGCATGATTTCTGCCAGCAGTTTCTGCCAGCAGTCAGATTGTAGACAACACCAAGCAGTCAAACTGCAGATATATGCCTCTGGAGGAGGGGGAGGAGGAGGAGGAGGAGGAGGAATACTAGCTTGGGTCTTCTCCTTCCCATAGGAGGATTGAGGCCTGGCTCATAGGATGTTCTGTGAGAAGTCCAAAATAAATGTGTGCCTGTGTAGGTACGTTTGTGTTCTCGTTCCTCCGTCCGTTGTCTGTCTCAGTGGTAGCCAATGTTTATTATTATACTGTGTATTTTATACCATAAACTGCCCTGTTATCCTTGGCCAATGGTCAGGAATGCCTGGAGTGATATCTGAAGAGCACCATGTTGGCTACCCCTGGATGTAACTGTGGGACTGAATTCTGCTGTTAGGAGCAATTCCTGTTCAACAAGAAGTACTTCCTGCTGCACTTGGAATTTGGGAGTTGCCATTGTTGCTTGGGGGTAGCAGTAGCTGTGCTGCCCTGTACAGAACTGCTAGCCCATGTGAACTATCGTAGATCATTTCGGGAATCCTTGCTATAAATTGTACGAACTGTGCTCAGTCTCTCCGCTGGTTCAGAGCACTAACAATCCACAAAGACCTATGCCTGAGACCACCCTAAATTTAACAGATAGACCAGTTACCTAGCCCTGAATTATGCTGAACTGTTCTGGCCCTGAACTCTCATTTTCAGACATAGCTCAACATTCTATGTTTACCTCCATGCTGCAACTGCCACAGTAACCTACAAGAAATTCCCTATAGATCATCAGATCTGATGCTGGGCAACTTCCTTAAGGTAATATATGGAAATGAAATTGGCATCATGCCCCCCTTTGGCCATCTCTTTAATACTCATTAGATTGTAACACCTTTAAGGATGCACTGGAGAAGAAAGCTTGTACTAACGAACTTCCTTTGGCTGAATAACCTTTCCTTCTTTGTTTCTGTTAAGGGAAGGAATCCAACCCAGCTCCCTACGTTTGCATCCAATTAACCTGTCACCTTCAAACTTCTCCCTGCATTCTCCTGGCTTACTTCAATTTAACTAGAGCCAACTTGTGCTCTCAGTGCCAGTGCAGATTTCTGCAATCTTCCTGTGGGAGTGTATTCAGTACATGAATGCGCTAAATGATCCAAGTTGCATTCTGAGCACTAAAGAGAGAACACATAGATAGCACATTTTGCTAAAGCGGTCGCCTTTTTATGCCAAAGCATTCAGACATTCTCCCATTTTTCTTGACAAAGACAGAGGAGCACTGTCAAATGGTTCTAAGAACCATTTCCGTGCCTCTGCATCTATCTGTCGATCTCCTTCCTTTTCTTCCTCTCTATCCTAGCACTTCCTTGCCTGCTATATATAGACTCATTGCTCTCATGATTTATATTGTCATTTTGCAGCCTCTATTTAAATAAAAATCAGGATATGCGCGGCTTGGAGTGATTTTTAAAATACCTGGATGGATGAAATAGTGGGTGAGACTGGCACCTGATCTTCATCACCGTAGATTCCTGCCTTGTTTCATTTATAACTGGAAAAATTAGACCCAGGAGAAAGGTACAACCTCTGAATTCTGGTCTATCACCAGGGGTTGGCTGGGTCAGGCACTGCTGACAATCCCAGGGGATCAGAATGGTCTTTCACTGGCCCAACCTGGTTGTGTCACTATTCATCACCTTCCCAATTGAGTTCTCAGATAGCTGTGTGGGCAGGTGGGTGGTGCTATTTTGGAATGGGGGCCAACCTCAGCTTCCACCCACAGTGGCTACCCACCACCTTAATTACCCCCAACCCCCCAGTCAATAGATCTATGAAATCTTGGCCACAATAGAGGAGTGATGTGTGTATGCTGGGAGAGGAAAGCCTATTGGCAACAATGTGCCCCCTGAAGTCAAGCACTAGCCCTGTTGGAATTTTGTCAATCTGCAGAACTAGTTTGGTCAGAATTGGGAGCATAACACCTTTTTTGATATCACTTGCATAGATCAAACAATCAACCATTTATTATACTGGCACAGATCCATTAAACAGGGATACATTCTTGACTGTATTATTACAAATCCTGTTACCCTGTCGCTATGATTTTGAAGGATATGTAGTACTGGACCAGATGAACCAGTGATCAATTACAAGGCAACTTCATACGTATATTTCCCTGGTAATCTTCCTGAGAACATGCTCTGGTAGTCCATTTTAGATTCAGAAGATACCTAAAGCTCTAACCTGGAGGATGCAGCTTTTTAAAGGGCGATCCAAGGAGTTACATTTCCTGTGTGGGTAAAGAAAATATCCTCCTTCGTCTGCTTTTCTCTGGACCAGGCTTGCAAGTTCATCAGGGCTATGTGGTTTCGCTAATGCCATGTTTCCCAGATCACTATCTGGATCTGCTCAGCGGCCCTTATATGGTGTTCTCCCCTCTTCTGCATCAGCATCTGACTGTACAAGTGTGCAAATGGCTGAGTCAAACTGCACGGAAAAAATGTAAGACTTTGAAATGGGCACTGTCGTGTATAACACAACTGGGAGGAAGGAAACAAGCTTGCAGAAAAGTCGAGTTTGATTGGTGCCCCAGAAGGTGCATTAAAGAACTCCTTGCGTTTCTGCCCGCCTTTTTCTTCCATTGTCTCTGACGTGGGGAATGATCGGGAAAGTGACTTACACTACTTTTTTCCATTCCTAAAGGATGGTTTTCTTTTTAAAGTCTGATCAGATTTGTCAACATTCTTTTAGCTTTATCCAGGTTCGGCGGAGGGAGGGACGGGAGACCTAGCTTTAAAAGACAACACACAGACATCATATAACTGGGATCAACAGATAAGGGCAAAGAATCCCTCTTCAGTACACCGGTTAATTAAATGACATAGATAACCTTCTGCATGCCCATAGTTCCCTTTCTGAAATCATATCAGTTGTTTCATTATCCCTGAGCTTTCACTGACATTTTCTGAAGCTATGCTTGTACTTTTGGTGTCATTCATTTCAATAAAAGGAAAACTTTTTTCCCCCTTACACCTTACTTTTAAAATATTTTATTTGTTTATTATTTATTTTCTGGCTTGCTTGGTATATTAAGTGCAACATAATCCTATGCATATTTACTCAGAAGTTAGTCCCACTGTGTAAATCAGGGCTTACTCACAGGTAAGCATGTATAGGCTTTCAGTTAAGGTTGCCACTTAAAAATCTAGATGGTGTCATTTCCTCCTGATGGATGCCCAAAGCAGTTTACAGTATAATACAAATGCATAAGGCAAAAAATAAAAATATTCTAAAACACAAGTTTGGGGGACAGAAAGAAACGCCAAATCATTTTAAACTTTAATCCTCGTAATAAAAATCGTGAAAAAGAAACTCTGAAAAATAATGTTTCCAAAATAAGAAAAATGATAGGACTACCTGAGCCTCCCTAGTAGGGGTGTTCATTTGTTTAGAGACTAATGAAAATTGAACCAATGTTCAATGGGGAACGGCCATAGCTCAGCAGCACAGCATCTGTCTTGCATGCAAAAGGTCCCAGGTCCATCTGCAGCATCTCCAGGTAAGGCTGGAAGAAACTCCCCATCTGAAACCCTGGAGAGCTGTTGCCATCTGTGTAGACTGTATTGAGCTAGATGGATCAATGGTCTGACAGCAGTTTCCTGTATTCTTTTGTTCTTCCTAGCAATCTGACTTGATCAACTTTTCATTTTTTTTAAATAAATGCAATAGGTAACAAATGGTTATGAGTAGTTACTGGTTTTGGCAATCCATTTATCGTGCATTGTCTTGTTTGAGTAGCAAAAGCAGCAGCAAAGCTGATTTCAGAGCAGGCTGCTGGTGGCTCTTCTTTTTCTGGCATCTTATTTTTCTAGAATGGTCTAGTCATTGGGTCATTTCAGAGAAAAATGGTGGATGTGTCAGTGGGAAGCCTCTGTTCCCTCACAATTTGCCCAGAGTAGTGCAGTCTACCAGGCATTGTGAGAAAAGAACATGGTGGCCATCAAGCATGGCTGCTGCTCAGATCAACTCTGCTGCCACTGGCATAAAAAGGTAAAGGTAAAGGTAAAGGACCCCTGACAGTTAAGTCCAGTCGCAGATGACTCTGGGGTTGTGGTGCTCATCTCGCTTTACTGGCCGAGGGAGCCGACGTTTGTCCGCAGACAGTTTTACCATAAATAGACAAAGTGGGGGGGGGGGGTTCCAACAAAATGTATGTAACAAAATGAATGGCATTATACCAAATCAAGAGTAAAACAAATGTGATTTTAACAAATCAATAAGTAACTCAAAGAAGTCTTTAAAATGAAAATGAATGGAGTCATGAAACAGCAAAATTAATAAATAAATCTTGCCTACTCCTACGCTCCGGTGAGGAGATTTGCTTGTCAGAACAAGTCCTGATTCTGCTGGTAGCTGAGCCAACTTAGCCTCCAAATGAGAAGATGGATCAAGAAGCAAATAGTTTCACAGATGTAAGGATATGCCTGATATTGTGTAGGATCAGTTTCCATAATCTTCACTCTTATCCGGAGGGTCTTTCTCACCTTCCAGTAGCAAATGGAACATGAGGATTAATCCCTGTCATGTCAGTCAAACTGAGATGACCTTGGGTGGGACTGCAAATCAGTGGCAGGAGGGGAGAAAGAGCCAGATTTTCCAAGTTACAGACTAGTGCCCCATCCATTGGATTCTTTTGGAAGTATTCCGTGCCTCATAATAGCGTGAGATGCTGCTGCTGTTGCTGCTGCAATTAGAGCTAAGTGGTTTTTGTTAGAGAGGGAGCTAAGTGAAGGAAAGGGCTGTAGCTCAATTGCTGAGTATCTGCATTGCATGCAGAATATCCCAGGTTCAATCCCCGGCATCTCCAAGTAGGACTGAGGATTTCCTCTGCCTGGATCCCCAGAGATCCACTGCCAGACACTGTGAACAGTGCTGGTCTAGATAGGCCAATGGATCAAGCTCAGTAGAAGGCAGCTTCCTGTGTTCCTATGTGATGATTTGGATTTTCCTGTTCTTTCATCAGTCCTTTGAAATGCTTCTCCTGTTTTGAAGGACTTGGCAGTTTCTAACATAGCCAAACAATCAGGACAAAAACAGTCCTCGTTTTCTTTACAGTTTTCCCTGGGGGGAAATGGGACAAATGGTTGAAAACTATTGAAGTGACTGTAATTAGATACGCCTGTGTCTAGTGCATCCAAATTTTATACACACAGAGACACATACACAGAGAGAGAGAGCGGGGGCAGAGTAACATTTTGAGTGCACTGATGAAGTTTTTTGGGTGCCTTCCCATGGTGCTTGCATGCTGACAGCGAAGGCTCTTTGCCAGCTGCTTTCCCTGCATTAAGTGCTCTGCCTGCTCTCGTGCACATTGGATTCTCCAGGACTGCATTATTTTCTCTTATCCGGAGAGCTGGCAGCTGGTGTTGAGATCATACGCACAGTGGCGTGCACAAAAGCCAGCACACGGCTTACATCACACTTCTTCCTCTTCCCTAATAAAGCACATTGTGATCTGAAACATAAGCAGCCAGGAGTATCACTCACTCGTTTTGCCGCTCCCTGAAAGTGCTTTGGCAGAATTCCCTTTGCAGAGTTCTTTCTGCAACCTGGAAGCAGCAATGGTCACATGTTGCCTTCCAACTGCCAAACCAATGACTTGGAACACTGGTCAACTTCCTAAAGCTGATTCATGTTGTGTGTGTGGGTGTGTGGGTGTGTGTGCACGCACACTCTTAAAGAAACCAGGTTTAAAGGGCAGAATAAACCCACAGCAGCAATTGTAAAAGCACATACACATACAATTAACATAGAAGTGGAGATGGGAAAAAGATCAGGCCCATGTTTATTTAGTATTTTTTAAATTAATAGTAAGACCTCTGTTTGAGTACAAAATGTATTTCTTCCAGTAGCTGCATAATATGTAATAAAATTAAAGATTACAACAGTAAGAAATGATGCCCACACTTCCTTGTTTGTTGCTGGAAAATCCAATCATTGATAATTCACGAAAGGCCACCTAATATGGTCAGGATCTAAACTCAGGTCCTAAGATGATAAGGTCCTATGATGGCACCTACCACAATAAGCACCAACTGTTGACCATTGTTCAAGGCATTATTCAACCACTGAACAACCACTGATTATGCTAACCTAGGACATTACCTTTTCCATAACAGTTGAATATATTCCTCTTAGAACATTTTCATATGTTATGGTCTTAGATAAGTAACAAATGAGGGACACAACCCAACCGTCCTGGATTGGCTGTATGCAGAGGAACAGTGGGAGGCACCAATTAGGGAACCCCCAGGGGAAGAAGGTTCAGAGCCAGGGAATTGGTGGTGTGACGACAATGAGTTGTCAGAGGGAGAAGAAGGAGCAGACTGGGAGGAAGAAGTGTCAAAAGCAGAAGAGGGTTTAGTGAGCAGGAAGAAGCTGTGGCAGAGAGCAGTTCAGACTCCAAGGCTGAAGCGGAAGCTGGAGAAGAGGCTGGCCAAGAGGCAGAATTGAGACAGGCTGCTGAAGAATCTAGGTAGTCTCCCCCACCAGCCACGACCCAGCTCTCTTCCCCCAGTCTCTCAGAACACACAGACAAATGAAAAGGCCAGAGCAGAGATTGGTTGTGTGCAGACGCAGTTTGCGACTGCTTGGGAAAGACCCTGGAGAGGAGGAGCCTTAGAGAGCAGTGGGAAGATGAGGACCTTCAGTCCTCGCAACTGCCTCATTGGGGCAAGACTGACAGCGAAGAGTTGCTGAGATTACTAGGCCTGCACTGTTTTGGTTTCTTTGAATGAAGAGCTAACATCATTGACACTGTGGTTTTTTTTATTGCTGACCTATGCCTGACAGCAATCTTTCATGTGTGAGCAGGAGGATACTACAGGTGTCCCAATGTGCTGTTGAACCCATGCCGGTCATAGCCCATGAAATTACCTTATAGCCCTTGCTGTGGCTGGTCATAGACCCAGGCTGCATCTCAGGGGCTTAGGAAAAACTCAAAGGGAACTGGATACATCAACATGCTATGGCTCTCTGGGTTAGGTAACCAGTATGCAATTCCTGAACTCAGTCAGTCAGTGTTTTGCCATTGTGCCACGCCCGCCCACATTGCCTTATGTCACTTCCACTACTTCATCTATTCCTGACAGAAGCAATCAAGGCATCATTTAGCTGTAAAGGAATCACTGTAAGGAATCACTTTAGCAGTGATTCCTGCATTGCATGGGGTTGGACAAAATGACCGTTTGGGTCTCTTCCATCTCTAAAATTCTGTGATCAATACAATTAACCAACTGCAGGATGATATAATATTTTCTGTTTCTCTTCCTCTCACACACACTCACAATTAGGCATGGTCCTGTTTTTCTGAAGTGAGCGGCATGTATTGGAAGGTATCTCTGTAGACCATAAATCAGAATTATATTTCAGCTCTTTCTGTCTTCCTTTGTGATTTAGACCTTTCCACTGCAGGGTGGGGAAGAAGTCTATGCTTTGCAGCATTATTTTCTGATGGGCCCTGCATTTTTCCAGCTTTCAGTACACTCCTGTATCTTTTCAATAATGCACCTGATTTTCCCTCCCAACCCACCTTGCCTTTATTCTGCTTCTCTGATGTTTGACTGACAGTTTTTACTCAGCCTGTCTCATAGCAGGATTGATGGTAATTTTTTCATCAATCCAGCGTGGATTTGCTCTGCAGTGTTTAACCTGGTCCTTTGTGCCACTAGCCACCCGTCATTTGCTACCTCTCTGCTCCAGAAGCCCCTGTCCTGAAAGGCTTGTTGCAGGTCTACAGACAGAGCTACATATCTGACTAAGCTTCAGTAAAAAATGAAATAAAAAAGGAGGGGGTCCTGAGCTAAAATCTGAAGTACAGTTTTACCAATAGGAGATGTTTTGCCGTAGGAAGCTAGGGAATGGGGAGCAAGAGATCAGACAGCAATGGATGTCTCTCTGCTCTCTGAAGGTTGTTGCTGCAAAGCAAGAAGGAAGAGATGAAAAGCAGCCTTCAGGTCTCCCTCTAATCTGAAAAACAGGTGCAACTGGGCAACCAGCCATGCAATCAACCTCCTTGGGAATTCAGATCAAGTTCCTTATTTCTTCAAGGCATCGGAAATGGACAGCTTCTGAACAGTGCAGGAAATTCTGATGTTTTGCCCTTTTGCCTCTCCTGAAAGCTGACCCTGGCCCCAGCGCAAGAGAAATGGTTCTGTTTCTTAAACCAGCTACATCTACCAGCCTCCCACTCCTCCAAATTACAAGGCTCCCCAGCTACTCTGTGACTTCCCATTGTTTCCGAATAGAATTTGTCAGCTTCCCATCCGTTACAGAGATTAACTGCAGGCTGAGAGAATGGGAAGGGGAGGCTGGGGGCTGGAGCCATTTAAGCTGTCACTGGCACGACCGTCACATTTAAATCACTGCCACAGAATAACAATGCTATATATTGAAGTTTTTATTTTATTTTAAAGAAAGCCCAACCCATCGCTAGAAACAATCTAGACAGAACAGAATAAATGAATCTCCCAGTCCTGTTGATTGTTACCTGTTGGTGAATAATATAAACTCACACATCTAAACACTATAGAAAAAGGCTTTGTGTAATATTTTCTAGCAGCGTTCTGTATGGGTTCTGACTCTGAACACTTCCCACATTCTGCTTTTATGACAAGGGAGCGTTCCTGAGCGTTCTTATATCTTCAGAGTGCTTTATACATTATATTTTTCCTACACTGAGCTAATCCCTGCCTTTTATTTGTAAGGGTAAATAATGTGATCCATATTGTTTAAAATGTGGCCTGTTGAATGTCACATGTGAAGGTGTGTGTCCATACAGTGTCTGCTGCTCACTTTCTGCTATGAACAAAACAATACCTCCGAGGTTTTTTCTTGAAATCACTTGGTGAGATTCCACAGAAGATATGTCGCACGATGACTATGATCTCTGCTACAAACATTCCCCTGTCTGCCCTCTGAATACTGTGGAAAGAGGTTGGAGTAATTTGACTTTGGAGTGCATCCTCTTAAAAGAGGCAGTGATTCATATTTTTCTAAAATGATTCCCAGAAATCTCCCCAATGTAACTGCTCACAGAATGAGGATTTGTGAAGCAATGAGCTATGTGACAAGTGACTGTGTGAATGAGGGATCTGAGCTTGACTTGGACTTTGAGCAATTTGACCACAGACATTTCCCTCTGCCACTATGGTGGCAAGTATCTCCTCAGCTCATACATTTCAAAGCCATCTTTTCTACCTGAAAACACTTTGTGTGCTTTGCATGCAAGGTGAGCTTTCTAGAATGAGTGGGGGATGCAATGCTTTTCATGAGACAGAGGACTCCATTTGCCACAGGCTTTTACAAATGGCACTTTAGTTGCCACACAGGAGATGCTTTTTCCTTGTAGGCTTCTCCTGTTTTAGCTTTGGACTGATTCTTTCACAGCACAGGAGAATCATGATTAAGAGAAGGGATTGCTCAACTCACAGGAATCCTGCCATTGTCTCTGATTGCATAGTATTAACTGTGTGAAATTATACCCTTTTGGAGGCCGCATGTAAAATAAAATAAAATGTCAAAAGAAAGAGAAAAAAATTGATGCTGAAGATAGAGGAAACAATCGCTTGGTTAAGTTAGAAGCTTTAAAAAAACAAACAGAGCAACCCTTTTGGTAAAGGTAAGAGGGAGGGGCAAGGAAAAAGATTTCTATCCTCTTTTTCTTGAGCAAATAATGGAAATAATGTCGAGGAGGTGGGCTGTGCAAATGGTGTTGGCCATGACCCTCAAAGATGATCCATTGGCAGGCATCAACCCAAAACCTGCATAGGCCCATAGCTGTGATGTGGCAAAAGGAGAGAGACTTGC